GAGCAACACACAGCGGTGTTTCGTTACTGAATGAATCCACATTTTTGAACGAATCGAGTGAGTCAATGATTCAGTGGCCCATTCATAAGGACAGTCACTTGCCTCGTTTCTGAATGAATCAGCCGTTTAAATGAATCGGTTGAATAAATGACCCACTCATTAAAACAGACATTTGCCGCCACCTACTGGTGGTTTGGTCATATTTAAAAGTATAATTGCATTTTTTCAACATTTATTTGTGTTTAAAAAATACGTAAAACATTAATCTTATAAAAATAGTTATGCATTTGAAATTGTGCAGTGTAAATGCATGTATGGCACCTCAGCTTCATCAAACTGTCTGTGTAAATGCATCTAATGCCACTTCAGATGCAGCTTCTGTTTCCTCAGCAGTGGTAAGATAGAGTTTGTTAATACTAATTTAATTTGAATGGTAACAACTCTACAGTTTCTTATTATTCTAACTGAATTAATTTAAACAAAGTAAGAATTTGATGTGAAAGATGACACATTTAATAAGGTTGGGGGAAAAATGATCATTTATAAACATAGTGGGAAATAACATTAATGGTAAGCTCTGCTCCAAAACCTAGTGCACTGCCTTCACAAAAATCTATGTATACAAGTTGTATAGTACAATAAACCAATGAGAAGAAATATGCATTTGGTTATTTATTCCTTGAGATTTTCATTTCCATCTCTTTCTTTCTGTCTGTCTAGCTCGGCCCCCATGGTTTTGCCTCATCAGCAGGTGTAGTCTACATGTGCAATCGGCTGATTTGTCAAGGGTAACTCCAGCAGATTCTGATAGGCACTTGGCAAATCACCCAGTTGATCTAAAATATCGACCGGCCACAAAAAGTCATTACACACAATAATGGCAGGCAGGACCTTGAGTATGTGACTTAATTAGGTTTCAGATGCCATCAGATGAGTTATCAGAGGCTCAAAAAGACCTGAGTTTAAAATGGTTGAAGATTCTTTGCAATCGGCAACCGTTTATCTCGCTACTAACCTTAATATCTAAGTTGATTAGGGGTTTATTTGTAGTTCTGCTGGAATAAGATGGTATTATTTTGTATGCTGAATTTTGCATGCTGTCGGTACACATTTCAGTTTTGGAGATTAGTCAGGATTAGTCATAAACAGATTTGTGTGCTTCTGCCACAATTTGTGCCGTAGTAATCATGTAAAGGGGGCAAAAATATGACATTTTAACCAATAGCTGTATGATTCTTCTTAAAAAGATTATTTTAAAAATTACCTGCATATGCTTTGTGTTCCCAGCAAGAGAGCAGTGTGAGTGAGAAAAGCTGGTCTGTGGGTGGTTTATTGATAATTAAATGTGATCTCATTAAAATTTCAGGCATACTATTTTAGAGACAAATATCTGTGAATCGTTTGATGTGCATACTTGTGAATTCAAAGAGTACCATTTTTTTTTAATAATTCATGATATAATTTTTTTTATCATATATATACAGTGGGTACGGAAAGTATTCAGACCCCCTTAAATTTTTCACTCTTTGTTATATTGCAGCCATTTGCTAAAATCATTTACTGCAAAGATGTCAACAATTCTGTGTTTTTCTGTCAATATGGGGTGCTGTGTGTACATTAATGAGGAAAAAAAATTAACTTAAATGATTTTAGCAAATGGCTGAAATATAACAAAGAGTGAAAAATTTAAGGGGGTCTGAATACTTTCCGTACCCACTGTATATATATATATATATATATATGCTCGCGGAAAGAGCTTGAGAATCAATGTCTCTTCTGCGGCTCGGTACGCTTTCAACTCGTTTTTTTGTTTTTAGTCTCAAGCAAGACTGTACGACTTTCACATTACATGATTTGACAGATTTTTATGTAGAAAGGGCGACAGAATTAAAATAAATGATCATTCATGTTTTCATAACCGCTGGCCAAATTCAAAAACGAAAATAAAATTAAATCATCTTTGAGAGCAAGGGGGCCCCCTGGTGTTTCGGGGGCCCTACGCAGCTTGCATATTTTGTGTATAGGGAGGATTGGCTCTGCAGGTAACAAAAGTTATTCATACAAAGAATGCACATGACTTTACTTTTATTAGCTCCTCTTAATTTCAATTACAAAGTTTGTCATTAAAAAGGCATTTCTCTGAAAATACTTTCTCTATCATTTAGTGATAAATGAAAGTTTTGTCATGGGATTGAACTCAGTTACCTGCAACATTATTTCATAAATTATGAAAATTACAGTTCTAACTTTTACATTTCTAAAGTATGTCCATTTTCGTTTTAGAAGTTGTCAATATTTTGCTGTTGTGTGTTTCAGTGTCTATCCAAAATTGATACTTTTTATATTTAAGATTAGAACATTTGGTACTGGAGTTTGTGTTTTATTATTATTATTATTATTATTATTATTATAATTATTATTGTTGGTTTGGGCTCAAATTTTGTGGTCTGTTTATTCCCAATTGTCTTTACTGTTTATTATTGACATGTTAACATTTAATGTCATATTAGAAGGAAAGCATAATGTCTGTCAAATAGCATTTATGTATTAAAGGTCTGATAATGAATTTGACTTCTTGTCCCAGAAATCAAAGATCTCCACTTATGATAAGATGTGGGAGTTCATGAGCAGTCGAAGACATTCGGTGATGGTGAAGAGCATCGAGGAAGGAATTGAACGTGTGCTCACCTCTGATTATGCTTTCCTTATGGAGTCCACCACCATCGAATTTGTCACTCAGCGCAACTGCAACCTCACGCAGATCGGAGGCCTCATAGACTCCAAGGCCTACGGGGTCGGCACCCCAATGGGTAAGGCATATTTATCAGTCTTATTTGACTAATTTATCAGTCCATATTTACTTAACAACTGAATTGAATTTAAAACTGCATTATAGTTTCATGTTTTAAGCTTTAATTTAAATTAAATGAATTTATTCAAGTAAACAAAATAAATAATAATATTGCTGAATCGATCTAAAAACTTTATAGCACCAAATAGCACTAATTTACAGCAGCAAAATTATTTTATGGTTAAATCAGGCAGACATCTCTCTTTAACGCAACAATTGCATGACTGAACTTTTTTGCAGTCAATAATTTTAGTTAATATTGCATGTCCTTATGTCATTATTTGGTACATAGCCATTTAATTAGTGGAATTCTTCACTTTGCATCAGGAATTTACTTTTTTGTTTTTTTTTTGTTTTCAAAATAATGATCACTAAAGCTGCAGTGGCTCTTCTATTGTCAATCAATATCTGAAACAACGACTTGAACTGATGCTGCAGATACTGACTTGACTGCCCTAATCAATAATCAGTCAGCTATTTGCCCAGAGCTGAACAAATTTGCATAATCAACTGAAAACAATTTCTATTTTGCCAAAACACTTAGTCTCAGCGGCATTACCTTTCAAAAAATATTCGTCAGACATCTCAACAAAAACATGAATCATTGAACAGACTGATTGAAATGAGACACACAGTCGTTTATCAACACATCTCTGCCATGCAGAAGTATATTCTCCTCAAAGTGTGTTTCTCTCAGACTGCAGCGTCGACTCAAATCTTCATTTCATTTTGATTAATGACTGTCTTGCTCTGTCGGTGAAGGTGAAGCAGTTGAGGTTAGCGTCTCTGAACGCCGCTCAGCAGCTCAGTGAATGTGCAGAAACGCGGACCCCGAGGCAAGCGTGCATGAAATAGACGAATGGATGAGATAAATAAATGAAAAGAGAAACTGTGAGGCGTTTCCCCTCCTGTGCATAAGATTATCAGTCTCAGTAGCAGATTGTCTTAATCCTGTTATACATGCGGCTGCAGGCTGTGTCAGCAGCAGAAATATAGAAGAAAAAAAAACAACTGTCCTCAGTAAGACTTGAGTCTGAAAACATCCAGAATTGTACATGATACCGCTGTAAGACATCTTAACACAATGACCCTAAAATACTTACCTTATCGTGGGTTTGTAGAAGAGGGAATTAGGGTTTCTATGATTTTCTTCATATTCCTCTAGAGCACATATAGTGCACACAATAGGCATGATACCATTTTGGAGAAGTATTAAAAAATAAAATTAGATTTCCATTTGCAGAGTTGGCCTTTTTACTCAAAATTTGTTACTACTTTAAAAATTAATAATTTTTGCTTTACTTATTACTCCCTGTCAGCAGTAATTTGTTGCACTACTTTTTCATTACACTCCACAACATTGGCAATTTCACACTTTCTTCTTTTCTGACTTCATATGTGCGCATCTTTGTGACTGTTAGGGTATACTGTATAGTCTTTACAAATGTTTACTTATAATCATAATTTCTGTTATTTTTCCATTCAATAATGTGATCTGATGAGCATTAGTGGCTTCCTGCACTGTCTGTCTGTCTGTCTGTTTTTTTTGTTTAGTTTTTTTTTTTTACAGCTCTTGCTGTTATGACTCCGAGAAAGATCATTCGCTGCTTATATGCCACTCATATCGCATGTTCATAACCCGTTCTGTATCTTCCGATGATGAAGTTCCACTACGCTTCTACAAAGTTCCACTACACTTTTGTTCCGTACATAACAAACCCAGAAAAACAATTTCTACACAGGAAACATGAAGCTAATAAACATATGAAGAGTTAATTTGCAAAAACCGATAAACGCCACTTTGAAAAAAAAAGAGCTGATTGTCGTGAATTATTTAGCGCGATCTGAACCCTAAATACGTTTTGTCAAAAAAGCCGGTTTTGTCCACTTTCAAGGCATCGTGAGTTCACACTTTACTGCAGAAGCCGACAAGTGCCCTTGTTGTTGAACAGAAGCCAATAAGTCCATTTTAGCAACGTTTTCACGGAACCTTGCAAAAGCAGCGCGTTACAATGGTGAGGGAAAAGCTCTGTGTATTGCGTGTAATAACATCCATACAGTTTATGATCACAACAACAACAACGTTTGTCAGGCATCTACATTGTCATCTGAGGAGATTACAACGATTAAACGAGTGTTTTTTTAACTCCAAAACATGAAATGTGGAGTTATCTGCTTTTGTCAAAAAACGACTGTTGGAGTTATCTGCTTTTGCTATAAAACAAACTTTTAGTATGTAAAAAAACATACTTTCAATGAGCTTAAATTTTGTAAATTACCTGTATTTGTTTAAGTTATTATTCCTTAATCAAAACAAACCAACTGCAGTTTGATTGATATTACTTGGAATGCGCAATAAAAAACGTGATTTCTGAAAAAAAATTAGTTATTGGTTTTTGCAAATGATCTCTTCATATAATTTCTATAGTATAATGATTTGAATGTGATTTTCATATGATTTGGGTTATTTTTATATATATAAAAAAACTATGTTTACATGAGAAATACTAAGCAGATGTATAAGCAAATATTTCTGCCTCATTGTATGATCAAAATCCACATTAGATTGCAATCAGAAGTTATTACAAATATTCAATGGTGGTTTACAGTGAGTTTTGAGTAAAACATATTATAATGCTGCCTTCACATGCTATTTTTATGTGGAAATTTCCTACTTCCCACTTGTAAAGTTGTAATTCTTTTTTTCTGAGTTTTTCTGGCCCATTTCTTGAGGAAATCTTATTAAATCCAAAAGGTATAGAAGATATTCAATATCCAACAGGTTTTTAATACGTTGTAGCATCCCATTCATTGGCAACCATATAAACATTCACTGCATGTAAATATTCTTTCTTTCCTCCACCATGTTTAAAGTTTATGGCCCATCCTACTCAGAAACTTGGGTGTTAACATTGTCTCTGAGTTTCCTAGTTGTAAAAAGACTGGAGAGGCCATTCATGTCCAGTGTCAGACTAGGAAATCCGTATTTTTTAGCAGAAAACTGCCAAGTGTAGCTTCATGCTAATTGCATTTATAATGCAGCTGTTAGCCAGGTGCAATTATTTATTCATGTTTGTATATGTATGTTGTCAAAAATCACGCAGGATTCTAGAAAGGCTTTTGATAATAGGTGATAATAATTTGTATCAAGATAAAAGGGATGTGGATGGACAAGCCTTGTAATGCCACAATTTACGGTAACACTTTATTTCGATAGTCCACTTTAGACATTCTACTAACAGTAAGTAACTTTGCAACTACATGTCAACTAGCAGTCATTAGAGTATTAGTAGACTGTCTGCTTAATATATTCTAACACTTTATTTTGATGGGTCAACAACATACAACATACTGACTATCAGAAACTTTGCAAGTATATGTCAACTTATTCTACTGACCCTAAACCTACCCTAACAGTCTACTCTGAGAGTTAGTAGACATGTAGTTGCAAATCAATTAGAATTAGTTGACATGTAGTTACAAAGTTACTTATAGTTAGTAGAATGTCTAAAGTGGACTTTATTGAAATAAAGTGTAACCCAATTTACATTTGACAACAAAGTTCTTGTCAAATTTTCTCACAACAAAATTAAAGTAATGATAATATTTCCAGCCACTGAATGTGAACCTCCCCATCTTCCTACCTTGATTGCTGCAGTGGTGACGTTGTGAATGACTATTATGAAAATGGATTTGATCATTGGATTGTTAGATTTCAAATATGTAGGAGTTGAGACAATAAATGCAACCTAGTAACAAGCTACTTTATGCATAGTAACTGTAATATTATTACTGAAATCTTATTTGTAGTTAATTACACTACTACTTACTGGGGAAAGTAATATTGTTACTAGAAATGTGTTCCTGCCCAACACTGTTCACTTGCGAGAGAGAGGAAGGAAATGGCATTGGAATAACTTGGACCTCAAAGCTACATAAGCAACAAATGACCTCAGCATGTGATCGTATTCGATATAAAACAGCATGATCCATTATATTGCTTTGAAAGGACCAAAATAACCAAGAATGGAAAAGGCACCTTAATGTGAGGATCAAAGGCCTCTTGGGCACTTCTGAAGCCTGACTCCTCTGCCTCAGGCACCATGTCAATCAGCCAAATGAATGTAAACCGTTAGCTACCGTTAGCTACCGTTAACTGGTGTATTGTGTTCAGTATTATGTGGCTTTGTGTGGCTAATATGTTCATTCAATTTTGAAGTAGAGATTAACCAGCCCACTGACTGGACATGTGCCCAGAGGCTTCCCACTACCTGGCATATGCCACTAATTGTGTGCACATTATAAAATATACCTTAAAATATATTCTTGTTGCAATTAGAATACCATACAAATACGCTGTTGTTAAAGTTATAAAAAAGCGTAGGAAGATGTTAAATGTAATGAGAAGGATGACACCATGTCCTAACCAGAAGAGAAACGAGAAGTTTACACACTGAAAGGGAAATGAAGCACATAACAACATAACAGCAGTCAGATTTTAGTTTGGCCGTAGTTTGGTTGTTTACCCCAAAATGACAAATTTGTCATCTTATACTCACTTGTGTACTGACTCTGTATTGTTGTTCTTGCATGAAACAAACAAACAAAAAAAAGGATTCCGTTTGCAAATGTACTATATATATTCAATTTCCATATATGAAATTTATGTCATGTACAGAGCATGTATATCTACCCTAAAACCTATCAATTCATACTGATATTAGTAAACGTAAAAGGGAGGTGTATTTAAAAATATAATATATATGTAAAATCTATATATAAACACAGACTTGTTGTATATATGTTGTTTTTAATAAGATTAATATATAAATGCAATATATTGTTGACATGTATAGTTGCTACATATAAGAGCATAAAAAAACAATGGGTATATGGGTTTACTATGGGGATTTTATATATGTTATACATTTATATATTCATCTACTAAAATTATAAATC